CAGACCTGTCGATCCGCAGCCTAACAGTTGAAGTATTATAGATATTATACCTATATGCGTGATTATATTTATATGTGCTGTTTTAATGTTTATCTTCAGTGGCGTCGCTATGGAAAATCTTGATAAAGTTTTCTATAATGAATTGTGACAGTTACCATTTGGTTCCATTGTAATAGTTAGGTTATTATGCTAGGTATGACGAGTCGTTTTTCATAAAAATTCTTGGATCTTCTAAGAACGGTTTTTATAAAGATGTATCTCAGCTTCTTCGTCAATACTGAATACAAAACTCATCAATCATTACAAACTGAGTAAAAGCTAAAACTGATCTCGTCTTCAGTGCTTTGAGATACGTTCTTTTTATTTATCTTCGATAAATTTCATAAGTTTAAATGTCATATTTGTTTGATAAAGGTCAAGGCTGTTAAAGTAGATGATGCTTGAAATTGATGCATTTATATGTTAGGAACTATTCGTTTATGTCTAAAAAAACACACAAAAAAACACCAACAAAATCGATTGTGTTTTAATTAAAAACTTTTTTTTATGAAATTTGAGTCGGTTGTTAATCATAATTAATATGTTGATAGCCATCTGTGAGTTGTTCTTTTTCCATACTCTTCGAATTAAAAAAATTAACAATATTTAAAATGTTATTCCAGTATTTCTTTTAACTATTCCCTGAAATGTTGCCACCACCTGCCCAACTCTACACCTTCCAGTGGCCAGTGGTAAGTCTGTGACCTTCTAACGCTAAAAATAGGGGTTGGACATACGCGTTGGGCAGAGCACAGACAGCCCATTATAGCCCTGAAATGTTTACTGGTTTACTTTACACTTCCATACAACCAAAAAGCTGTTTTACTGTGGCTACATATTATTACCAGGTTGCATTTTAGTTTCACTCTAAGTAGGTAGTTTGTTCTGATCGGAAATTAATTTTGTTATTTTTCAGATATCCTTTTTAGTTTAATTGGAAATAATGGTGAAACTACTTTATTACACAGTTATTATTAAATGGTGATTAAAGAAACACACAATAAATTAGTGTGTACAACATAAATGTTTATCTACCATTTCCTTCACATCAAGTGAAGATATTCTTCACAGTTCGTTTTATTTTTTGTATAAATAAAATGTATTTGGATTTTCGTGTTTAATGTATAGAATCTAAAGATGTCCTCATATTTCCTTATTTGACAAACTGTTATTACGAGATTATAAACAGTAGTTCTGCATAATTACAAATCCAGATTCTTTTATGTTTTGATTGTCTAATAACATTAAAATAGAGTTGTTTGTGTATATCAAGTTCGTGACTCAAATTTATATGCGGTTAATATAAAGATAAATATGAAAATAGACAGTAATTGAAACGAGAGTGTGCTGGGTGAACACTAGAAATCAAAGCATTCTAAAGATTAATTTTGTCCTTAGTTTTCCGTACTGCTGGGCGTAGTTCCAAACGCGGACACGATAATTACTCGAGATAGGCAATGTCGTTCTAATGTAGATAACAGTCTGCATAAAACAATTTGTTGCTATTCAAATAAAACCCGATAATCTCGCCTGTAAAAAACTTATTGAGTATATACTTCTGACATTAAGCATTGTATAGGAAGTCAGATTAAGTATTGTGTACAACCTCCTGAGATTAAGCATTGTATGTAGAATTATACACGGACTTTTCTCTAAGTTAAAATACTTTTATTTGCGAGCTTTCGGCCCTTGTTCCGGAGCCGTCATCGAGCTACAAGGTAAGTATAATTCTACATATTCATTTACCTATGTTATGAATAAAAAAAAAATAATTAAGAACTGTATATTAAATTCTGTCATTACTTATTGTATATTAACTCCAGTCGCAAGTGTTGCATATTAACCACTGACACTAAGTATTATGTATTAACTACTGACGCTAATTATTGTATATTTACTCCTGATACTAAGTATCATATATTAACTACTGACACTAAGTATTGTATATTAACTACTAACATTAAGTATTGGATTTTAACTTCTGACATTAAGTATTGTATATCCACTACTGCACTAAGTATTGTATATTAACTCTTGACATTAAGCATTGTGTTTTAACTACTGACACTAAGTATTGTATATTAATCACTGACACTAAGTATTATGTATTAACTACTGACGCTAAATATCGTATACAAACACCAGACGCTAAATATTGTATATTAACCACTGACGCTAATTATTGTATATTTACTCCTGATACTAAGTATTATATATTAACTACTGACGCTAAATATCGTTTACAAACTCCAGACACTAAATATTGTATATTAACCACTGACGCTAATTTTTGTATATGAACTACCAATACCAAGTATTGTATATTAACTACTAACGCTAATTATTGTATATTGACTTCTGTCGCTAATTATCGTATATTAACTACTGACACTAAGTATCGTATATTTACTACTGACGCTAAGTACTGTATATGAACTACTAACACTAAGTATTGCATATTAACTACTGATACTAACTACTGTATATTAACTACTAACACCAAGTATCGTATATTAACTACTAACGGTAAGTATTGTATATTAACTTCTGACGCTAAGTATCGTATATTAACTTTTGACGTTAAGTATCGTATATTAACTTTTGACGTTAAGTATCGTATATTAACTTTTGACGTTAAGTATCGTATTGAGTCTTGTTGTAAATAATGTTTAGCAGTTACATACATAGAAATTCATGTATATATATATATATAAATATGGATGACTTTAACTGAAATAGTAAGTCACAAGTGGGCAGAGAATGTAATTACACTTATTCTATAACCTGATACGAACAGTTTTTGATCAGCCTTCTTAAGAAGAGGTAAGTTATTTGAAACTTCTCCAGAGTAAGTGCATTAAACACTTATCTACTCAGTATAAATTGACTGTCAGATAGACATTATCTAAGCTAGTTTATTTAATAATGATGCATCGTACTCAGCTGATGGTATTTCCTTTAATCTCACTCTATTCACGTTCTCGCGAGAGTAAGATATGAAAGCTTTTTTTTAAGAACGTATATATAAATATTAAATATTTAGTCGGTGCATTTTTTAAGACAAAGAATGGTTTCAAACCGGTTTTCGACATTTCGCGTAGTATATTATTAAATAAAAACAGAATTTCCTTGTTTATTTAGTAATAAAAAAAATTTCTACAACTTTATAATGTTGCTTTCTAGAAGAAAGTGATTAAAAAACTCATGAGAATTAACGATGACATTTGGTATCTATAGACAAGACTCATTATGTAATTTTTGTAGTGCATACTGGTGTATAGAAGACATATTAATACTAGAAATAAACGACATTATAACCCCAAAATGTTGTTTTTATGTAAAGCGACACTCAACGTTTCGCTTTACAGCTTCTTCAGGAACGTTCACTAAAACGCAGACCGAAACTGACAATACAAAGCTTAAAAAAAAGCTTTGAAACTTTGTACTGTCAGTTTCAGTTTGTGTTTTAGTGAACGCTCCTGAAGAAGCTGTAAGGCGAAACGTTGAGTGTCTAATTAAATAAAAACAACATTTTGGTGTTATGAGCTTGTTTATTTTTAGTATTTGAATATATACAAGACTCGAATATATGAATGCCAATATTGTTTCAGGGGCGATCTCTTTATTCATACAATTATAATTACGTTTGTCTTCCTAAGCTTCGGTTTTTCAGTTTCATAAACAATTGTTGTTGTTGTTGTCTTTATTTTTAATTTTTTAAAGTACATTATCTCTAAGTTTTATAAATAATTGTTTTCATTTGAGTTAAAACATTTTGTTTGTAAAGCACATTACCTCATCAATGTGACTGTGAAACCTTATAAATAATTTATTCTTTTAGATATACTTTGTGAGCCTATTATAAAAACTGTTTGCAAACCAGGTGAAAAAAACATGCCAGACAGTTCATTCAGACTAACTGTTGTTATAGTATTCATAATTTGTAACAGAATCTAAAACTAATCTTGGAGTGGGAGGGGTACATAACTAACTTATTAAGATGTATTGGTCTGAAATCTCATCATGCAAATATATGATGAATTTTACGATGCCACTAAACAAATCATGATGTATGGAGATTTGTTTTTCAAACTTTATGTAGATTGTCCGTTTTGAATCAAGAGTGGACAAGAAAGATGAAAAAAATCGAACTTCCTTTATTACGGATCGGAATAAATATTGCTAAAAACCACTTTGTTTATTATACGCTATGGTAGATTGCTGAATCATCAAAACCACAGAGTTATGATGCTTCTATACTCTCTGATCGAATTCTTCAGTAACTGATAGTATCTGGCGATCACCCACCTATCAATCTTACATCGAGCTTCTGACGTTGCCCTGACTACCTTTTGTTAATCACTATTGCCCCTTTATGTTAATGATACGATAATATGTTAGCTTCTTTTTAGAAAACAAATCGTGCGTGTATCACAAGCACCTGACTTTGTTGTACGACTGAGCATCATTGTATAAGTGCCTTTATGTCAGGGTTACAAGGTTAACGTTTTAGTTTCTTTAATAAAAACTGTTCAAAAACCGTGCTCATAAAAACAGTGATAAATATATTGTATCTATAAATAGCGGTAAACACGCACTCTTCAACCTTATAGTTAGAAAAAAAACTTGTTTGTCTCGGATCTCACTTTGACACAAGCAACAACGTTCAATTTACGAAACTGGTCAACAACCTATATGAGCATTCCAGTCACCAAGACGCACCGTACTCTGATAGCTTCTACGTCATCTCTGTCATGTGTATATTCACTCTAACGGTCTTCGTCAGCATTTAGATGTGGATAATTACTTCAATAGTTTTCTTAATTATTTCATTCATTCAGGCTAATGGCTAAAAAAGCACACCCTTAATTATTTAGTTTTTGCTGATTATGCCAGTAATATACACTATAAATATTACTTTATATGACAAAAATGACTAATTTAACTTATTTCACCACCAGACGGAGCTATCTCAGAACCTCCATGTGCTCTCTGAGAAAGCAAAGGGAGCAACTGAGTTCATCCAGAAGTTAAAAGGGATCGTAGATAAAGTACCGGTAAGTAAAATTAGTTGAGTTACCTTGTATTTAACGTAATGAGATGGATATTCTAGTACATATCATACAAAGTCTGCTGTTGTTATCATGTTCCATTAGTTCAAAATATTGTCTGTATGTGCACGTGTGAGGTCATAAAACATGGTTGAGTTTTAAAACACAACTGGACTCAGACTCACTGGAATTGGAAAAAAAAGATTTCTCCAATAATTTATCCAGACTTTCTAGTGATAGGTGCATAAGGAGTTACTTGTAAATAATGGGAAAAAATATTCAAAATCTATTTATTTATTGATCATTATCCTTTACCATTTATTCTGTGTGAAGTACGGCAGTCAGTCTTTTGAAAAAGGCTATATTTGTGATTATGATCAGTATGGCAGTTTTGGCGTGTGAATACAGCTGTGTTTGTTGCTTGTCTTCAGAATGGTGGTCTTGCTTTGTGAATACGACTGTTTATTGCTGTGTTCGGTTTGGAAGACTTGTTTGGTGAATGCGACTGTATTCTCAGATGTGTTCAGTGTGGCAGCCTTGTAAATACGGTTCTGTTCGTGGCTGAGTTCAAAGTTGTAATCTTGTAAATACGACTCTGTTCGTGACTATGTTCACTGTGGCACTCTTGTCTTATGGATACGATTCTTTTTTTAGATGTGTAAATTTAGGAAGTCTTGTTTTATGAATTTGACTCTATTCTTTGATGTGTTCAGTGTGACAGTCTTGTCTTTTAAGTAGGGCTATATCTGTGACTGTGTTCAGTAATAGTAATCCTGTCTTGTTAATACGGCTATATATATATTCATGATTGTGCTCAGTGTGGTAGTCTTTTACCGTAAAAACGGCATGTAGATCATGTCTGTGTTCAGTACGATAGTGCGAATACGGCTCTGCTTGTCTTTTCTTGAATATTGACACAGTTTATTCACAGAAACTGATATTCTAATAAACATTTAAAACTGAATATGGATATATTTTCTATTGAAGGAGCATTGACATATGTTCCCCACCAAAGATAATTTTTAGCATATCTTCTCCTCCAACGATCACTTTTGACATCTCCTCCCACAAACGACCAATGTTGATAAATCCTACCAACCAAAGATAACTTTTGAAATATCTACCCCACAAACAACCAATTTTGACAAATCTTTCCAACTAAAGATAACTTTGAAATATCCACCCCACGAACGATCAATCTTGACACATCCTCCCAACCAACGATAACTTTTGAAATATCTACCTCACAAATGATCAATCTTGAGAAATCCTTCCAACCAAAGATAACTTTTGAAATATCCACTCCACAAACACCAATCTTGATAAATCCTCCCTACCAACGATACCTTTTGACATCTCCATCCACAAATGATCAGTCTTGACATATCCTCCCTACCAACGCAAACTTATGACACTTTTGACATATCGTCCCTACCAACACTCATTTTTGAGATATCTTCTTCATTAACGATCACTTTTAACATGTCCTCCACACCAAAGATTTATTATGCATGCTCTGATTGCAACGTATATAATGCTGCTAAGTTAGCAATCATTACTGGCGAAGGCTGAAGATAATACAAGCATGCTATATTTAAATCAGAAAAAGGTACGGCGTTTATTTCGTTGGCTTTACGTGGATGGAGGAACGGCGTGCATGTGCGTCATTCGTTGGCACTAAGACAGTAGCAAGGGAGAAAATTGGAATGGCTGTCAAGCCCATAAAAATGAGAAAATGGATAAAGGGTTTTACAATCCCTCTGGTGAATACCAAAGAACCCTTGAAACTTTCATGGTGACCAGGGATTGGGAAAGTGGGAATTTTTCGTCAAGGACAAACAAATAGACACTTAGACATAATGTAGATACAGTGTACAAAACATGAGTGCTTCCGATCAGTGTCAATATCTGTTAAATAAATAATGTTACAGGAGCCTCATACATATATACTTACATGTATAAACACATATTTTGATTGAACTTTGATGTTTTGCTTACAGTTTTATGTTTAACTTGAACATAAAATAAAAATCTTTTCTTTCTGTGCTCTGAGGTTTATCTTACTTCCAGGATAACTGTGCTCAGTATGAAAGCAGAATCTCAGCTGACTGCGACCTGATCATCGAAGCCATCCACCGGAGAAAACTTAAGTTATTGGAGTTTGTTTACCAGGAACGCGACTCGAAAATAAAAATTCTCCGAGAGCAAATTTCTCACTGTGCGTCGAAGCTCCAACATACAACCGGACTTCTTCAGTTCTGTATCGAGGCTTTGAAGGAGACTGACGCAACGGCTTTTCTTCAGGTAAAAACTGTTGTTAAGTGTCTTCGATTTTATGAAACAAGCTGTGTACGTACTGGTTACGCCATATGATAAAGTAAGGCAAGGCAGTGTTACCCATTGTAATAAACAACTAATAGCTATGGTGTCTGATATGAATTTGAAAGCTTGTAAATGGTTATGTATGTTAAAGTATTTACTTCTAGTATTGCCTGAACAAAAGTTATATTTCTTTTTTGTTGATAATTATTATTTTTTCACTGAAAGGAACAATAGAAGAAAAATGTGTTTAGTTAATCAAACTAATACATGGTTTTCTGGAGGATAGCACCGGTTTCTGTAGGATAGCACAGGGACACTTGTAGGATAACATGGGTTTCTTTAGGATAAAATAAGTTCTGCTTTGCAAGCTATGAACTTAAAATGCTTGGACTCCAATTTTCAAAAATATGTAGTATAATTACTTTTACACGACTCTTTCCACAACCCCCGAGCTTAAGTTAATCAACTTTATTGAATCCAACAATTTTAGACGAATTTTCTAAGAATAGGAATGATTGGTGTTTCCAAGTAATTATTAATAATACAAACACAAATTAAGAAAGTTATATAATTAATATACAACAATGATAGTACAGAATTTTTTCTTTCACTATCCACTGCGGATACAACATTTTATTGTTATAATAAATTATATTTTGTTAAGAGCATAACTAAGCCTAATGTTATGTGATATTTTTTCTTTCACTATCCACTGCGGATACAACATTTTATTGTTATAATAAATTATATTTTGTTAAGAGCATAACTAAGCCTAATGTTATGTGATATTCATGGCATATCTTTTTTTTTTTGAAACACACACCGCATGTTCAGGAAATATTTACTGAATGATTGAATCTGAAAATATTACTTTGGCTGAAAGACAGACAGAATGCACTATCATAGGTATATATATAATATAAACATGTTGGGTCGAAATTTATTTTAATTTAATCTCACGGGTTGAAGAGTTTGATTTTCCATGATATCATGGGTTGAAAATTTTGATTTTCCATGATCTCGTGGGTATGGGTTGAAGAATTTGATTTGCCATTAATCTTCATTTTTGTTAGTTTAACCAGAAACAGACATGCGTTGTATCTTTTATTCTTTTAAGTTGCGCTAAAATTATTTTTAATGAGTCGAAAGTTCTCGAAACGTTAGACATTCGGTACTCTTTTCAACAACCTTGGAATAAAAGGACTTTTTCATAATCTTAAGTAATGTAGCTTTTAACAGAGAAAACAAAATGTGTTGGGCTGTGTAATACATAGAACTGAACAATCCTCTCAGTTGAAGCCGAGTACTAGAAAGAGACCCATTCCATTATTTGTTTAGACGAACAACAGACTAGCTTTACATAGTGTATATAAATAGCGTTTCCTCTAGAGACACTAATCCGGCCAGTCTGACGAGTTTTGATATTGAGCGAAAGGCCTTGTCATTAGCGGCGCACAACAAAGTGCAATTGACACATTATTCTACACTATAATTGATATTATTATCCGACTAATGACACTCCAAAGCTAGTTTCTTGACTGTACCATCCATCTTGAGCTTACTGTTTCCAATTCGTTCTTGTTAAAACTTCAGAATTTTAGAAATAACTTGGACCCTGAGCGAAGCTTCAATCAGTCTCTGACGACACTTAACTGATGCATGCAATTTAGAAAACGTAAAATAACTTTGTTTGGTTATCGTTTGCAATAGGTCGGCTCTTCATTAGTGGATAGGGTTTTGCAAGTGGACATGACTTGGCACAAGGAAATGACCTTCGTACCAAGAGTATCGGACGAGATTGACCTGAACCTTGATCATCTCTCTGTTCTACACAGTATTGAAGAAATGACCTTTGCCCAACTGAAAGGTAAGTTTTCTACACACGTGTGCAAAGTGCGAAAATGTTAATTAAATACGAAAACTTGGTGTTGTAAACCAACATCTCAGGGAGATACCAAGATATACGAAAAATAATTATATAAAACAAGGAGATACCAAGATATACGAAAAATTATTTTCTTAAAAAAATTTTGAAAAAATAGAAAGAAAAAAGAATTGAAATAAGATATTCATGCGAATGTAAATCAAAGGAACGATTGAAATGATGAAGCTTAATGTGAATCATAACCTAAAGAACCACATGATTATGTTGAAATGTTATAATATATATCTACATAGAATCCAAAATGCTATTTACATATGTCAACATCAGTCAGGTCGTAAAGGCCGAACGTAGTCTGGTACTTGGCATGATCGGTTTCGAATTTTCGGCTGTGGGCGCATTATAAAAGTAACAGTGAATGTACTGCTCATTGACTGCTCTCCTTCCGATGAGTAGTTGAAAATTAGGGATGGCTATGCTCGTAACTCAGAGTCTCTAATCAGGTCGTTTAGCCCAAATTTTGCACAAGGTGGCGCATGCCTTACGTAGGTCGTTTCTTTAACGTTCAAAGACCAGAGAACAGGAAGCTGGAAGATAAATGTTTTATTTATTCTGAAAAATATTTAAAAGTTATAATATTATATAGTGTTTCTCGCTTTGTTGTTACGTGCTAAGTTACTCAATGAGCTATCTGTTTTCTGCCCATCGCGGGTATCGAAACCTAACTTTTAGCATTATAAGTGTTCAGACTTACCGCTGAGACACCAGGAGGCGTTATATTGAAGTCGGAGTGCGGAGTGTATAAGTCACTCATTCACTCAACTTACTGTCTTTTAAGTTATCAGCCAATTCTTGAGAAAAATCATCTTATTAGTTTGTCCGACTTTGGCAATGTAGATCACTATGCTCTGCATATTTATTATAAATCTACATTCATGATATTATAATATATGTTTCGCACGTGTAAATCACTTGGCTGTTGTCAAGTTACGGCACTGTTAACATTTTTTGTACACAGAAAAGAAGAAAAAAAGCCAAAAACATAACTAAGGTAATCGTTTGTTTTTTGTTTTTGTCTATGTACTCGTGTATTTTTATTAGAGGTTAAAAGAATGAATACGAGACATGTACAAGAAATACAAGCAACAGTAGCGTCGCTAGGCACTGGCACAAGGGGCCCTTGCCCCAATGCTATTTGACAGGGCCTCAAATCCTCAGTTAGCATTTTGAGAAATCAAAAATAGAAAACCATGTTGGATATCATACGAAACGTCGAAAATTCCCGCGCCTATGGGCCCAAGCACCGAATATTGTAAACACCCAGCGACGTGAAAACCTCAGGTTCATTAACTTGCAAGTGCATGCTACTAGCTTTCTCTGTGTCGCATCAAATTGTGAGATTGTTTTGGCTATCATCATTGACGTGTCGAGCTTTGAAGATACAAACGAGTGTGCACTTTGATGGAATAGACATTCAAAATGTTGTGGTCAGTACTGTGTGAACCATAATGACCCTTATGAACAGGAAATCAAACGGAGCAGATGCTCAAGCAATTAGATGCACCCCCCCCACACACATTCAGATGATTATACACCTTCATCAATTTCTGAGATAAAGAGCTGCCTGAGCTAACTGGCTGCCAAACAGAAGAAGCGGCAAATGTCTTTGGCGAGAACGTTATAAACAGTACAGAGTGGGATGGAGAACTTTATCAGTGACATAGCTCTTAATGAAAACTAGGGCCAGAGATATGGCAACAAACTTAGAAGTTTGCACTGATAGCACCACACTGCCAAATGAAGCTTGTGCTAATGATAAATAACACTGACGATTTGTCAGAACTAACGGTTATACGTCGACATATGACCAAGAGCACTTTACTTGACCGTTTCGTAGAGCTGTCAGGGACTTTGTCGTTTCATAGGCAGTCATTTAGTTGGAGGCACACCCACCTAGCACGGATGAACTGTTCAGAAAAAAAACAAGAGACCAACAAATTCGATCAGATGTCTCATTGCTTCGTAGCGTCCGTAAAGCGACCAACAAACTCTATACTTAGAAATATAATTCATATTTCGTTGTTGTTGTTTTTTAAGCAGTACAGTTTATTATTGGACCCCAGTTGTGTTAATAAAGCACCCCATACATTTTGGTATTAAACATATAGATTATATTTTGTTTTTACATTACGATAAATATGCATGTTTTGATCTCAAATCAATATATAACGTCTTGCTACTATGATAGTTTGAGATGCTACAAAGTAATTATTAACAGTAACTCGGTTAGCTCAGGTGGTAGAGCACTCGCTTGGTGCGCGAGAGGTCTCGCGTCCGAATCTGTGGTAGCACAAAATCCCGCATTTACTCTAACTCTGGATATTTTATTCTTTCAGTACCAAAACTTGGTTAGTACGTTCCGAGTACATTCACCGCCAACTCATAAAGTTTACCTGAGTGTCATCATTGTTTGTTTTTTTAGGGGGATGAGGGGTCTAGGATCTCACAAAGAGTGTCTGTCTTTGAAAAGGTCTTGTTAGTTGTTTAACCAACCGTACATCGTTGGAGCACTTTGAGCAAAGGTCGTTCCTCTCCGTCATTGTGGTACACTGAGTTTTGTATCTATGTCACTGAGAAAGGAAACATTGGCTAAAAACAAAGTACATAAGTCATTGTGAGATAGAATAACTTCACTCTAACCTGGTGTCTTTATAAATACCGGAAGTTTCCAGAAACCGTTCTTTAAAATAAGAAGCATGGTCAAAGATGAAAGTAAGTGTCACAGGAACTTCTTTTTGTCTTTTTCAACGAACTTGAAATTATCAGATATCACTTACACACGAAGGGTATTGTTATCGAGAGATAATAAATAACATATACGTTTCTTTGAAAATTTTGACGAAGGTAAATTTAGAATTTAAGTATAAATTTCGTTGTTGTTTTGATCCTGTAAGAACTCCTCTACTTGAAAATGACCGCTGTTATTCCCGGTTGGTTCCTACACGCAGATCTAGGGGGAGCGATGGCTCCTCCTGCTCCCCCCTCAAGTTACTGCGACACTGTAATAAGTGTAAAAATGAGAAATACTTCTAATGTTACATTTGTGGTACATAATTCTAAGAACTTATGAGAATAAGAACATGTTATAATCTGCCATATCCAGTGTCGGGTACGGCATGGCCAGGTGGTTACGGCACTCAACTCGCAATCTGAGGGTCTCGGGTTCGAATCCCCATCACACCAAACATGCTCGCCCCTTCAGCCGTGGGAGCGTTATAATGTGACGGTCAATCCCACTATTCGTTGGTAAAAGAGTAGCCCAAGAGTTGGCGGTGGGTGGTGATGACTAGCTGCCTTCCATCTAGTCTTACACTGCTAAATTAGGGACGGCCAGTGCAGATAGCCCTCGTGTAGCTTTGCGCGAACAAATAAAATCCAGTGTCGACGAGATCCTTCTCCCAGTAACAGCGGATTAAGTGTATTAACATTAAGTAATTATGATCAAACTTAAACGTTTATTTTTAAATAGAAAAACATTTTGATTTGAATCTAACTATAACACATTGTAATGTAATTTTAGTTTAATATTTTTCAATTCAAGTATATTTCTAATCTTTATTGCACTTTAAAAATTTACTATTGACTGTGTCTAGACCAGTAGCATCTGGCTAGTTCCAGTCATGCTGGACTGTCTCTGTGTTCACTTTCACTTGCATTTCTTGAAAGTGTACCTTCCATTGTTACCCACTCGGATTTTCATGGGACACAAAGCTGTCTTAAGCCTTTGAAGTTCATTATAGAGTAGAACTAGCCTGGTGTAAGTTTGTATCCATACAGGTATGAAATAGTGTTGTTGTAGGGATTTTTACCCGGCAGTTTTGTAAACTAGCCTTTTGTTTTAGTCTTATCTTTGGCCTAGACATCATTTTATTTTTCCTCGTATTGCCACTGCAATCCCTTAATTAGTTCAGTTGTGAATATAAATATTAGTCACTTAATCTGTCTTTATTTAAATTTAGAGGTAAAACGTTAACCAAAGGACAAATGTACTCATTATACAAGTGGAAATAAAATATATTTGCATATTATATAAAAAACCAAAACTAAAGTCTAATCAAAACATGATTCATCTACACGATGTCATTCTACCACTTCACATCACGGTCTCATGTCTTTGATATCTCCAACAACCCTTAAACTATCTTCGTCCTGACTAGGTCCTTTCTCACTTAGTTATTTAGGGTCTTTTAAACGTGGTATTGTACCGAGCGTACCTTAATGCCCGATCTGTGAATCCAATGATTCGAAATTAGTTTCCCGTATGACGCAAAAACGGCTCTATGTTTTGAAGCCGAGGGTGTGTTAGAACAGTAACAGTCAAATCCTATTATGTAATTAAAGGATATTAATCCCAGAGTTGGCAGTGGGTGAACTATCTAATCAGACCAAGATTAGGGGGATTCGCAAGTAGCCCTTGCGTTACTTTATGAGAAATTTAAAAAAAAGGTGGGGAGGGATAGCACGATATCAACGTATATGTGTTTTTATTAGCTCTTCTGTCTGTACGTGGGAAACTGAAAGAAAAAAAACTTGTTTAAGAATCTTTAGTTTCAGATAAAAATTAGCGTAGGAAGATTACACTAACAATAATATTTCGCGTGTATCTTAAACAACTCTAAGTCTGTTATTTGTTACTTTATTATATTTGTATTTACAGCAAAGATACTAAGGCTATCTAACTTTGAACCATTGATCAAAAGAAATTCCTTCAGTCATCAGTAACCTTTCACTCACCATCCACACTAAGGGATTGACGGCCATTTTTATAAATCAACAATAGTTTAAAGTGGTGGAAATATTCGTGGTATCGCAGGATTAGAGCCCAGTTTGGTAACCCGTATCCCTCTCTTCTCAAAAGAGACACGATAATGGCTATAGATAATTACTAAGTACTTGAATAATTTTAAAAGTATTACCGTTTGGTTGCAGAGATATATTCTAATTCACATTTTCTTCGTATTGGGGAAAGAAAAAGAAAGTAAAAAATGTTGAACGTTCAAGTGACAGCTGATTTACAGCCATAACTAGGGCTCAGTTTGGCTCTTAACTCATTAGCACCATAGATTCTTGCAAATAGCAGAAACGGAAAGAAAAAACTGCTAAAATATTCAATGCACAAAGAGAATCATCTTCAATATTTCTATTTTGTGTCATACCGAAAAACCATCCTCAAAATTTCTTAGTTGTGTCACATCGACCTTTGTCATTACAGAACAATATCATTTAGTAAGAAACAGATTTTTGTTATATAAATCAATTTGTTTAGCAAGAATGTGGCAGAATCGCTTAATACAAAGCGCGCTTGCTTTAAAACATACTGAATAAATTAATTAAGCCGTCCAAATTTTGTTTGATGTAATAAAAAAAAAGTGTCAGGCATCTACTAACGCAAGAAAGTACTCTTATTTTGTCAAGATGTTTGAATGCCACCTAGGTATTCATAATAACTTCAATTTTCTGATTCGTTTTAAAGAGGGTCAAACACATAATTTCAAAAATCCAGTTATATTTTTTGGTGTCAAATTACTTTTTCTATACCATTTATTTGATATTATAATTAAGTCATATCATCAATCAGTTTAACTTTTTTCTCCAGTATAACTTATGTTTATATTTATTTATTTCTTTTGCGGTCCAGCACCAGGGCCTCCAATCTTAATACCGGAAGAATGTACAACAGAAAACAACACTATTACCGTTGCTTGGCAACCTCATCTTTGTAGTTTTGTGGAATTTTATCAGCTAGAGATAGCTGAAACAGACAAAATGGAATTCAAGGTGAGTAGTTATATTACTCGCATTCACCCCAAACCAATGTAATGCGTATTATCTTCCCCCGTGTTTCTGTATAATAGTCGCCTTGAATACATCACAGACACATTCAACCAAATGCAGTGACTCATTCTTACTTACACATGAATAATACCGTTTCTAACTAACTTCCCCTCCCCCACAAAACGGTCAACTGTGACCCCTGGGGTTTGGTTGTTATTACAGGAAACTTTGTTACGTACGTCTAGTTAGCTTTCGCTCCAATACCAAACACAAAAGCCTTCACTTTCTTCAGTTCTACATACTTACTAAAAGGCTATTGTCTATTATAAAAAAAATTCCAATAACAACAAAACAATTTCCTCAAGGAGAAATCAAGAGTAGATAGTCAAAAGCAGCTCATATGGATTATTTCTACACGCCACTCTGTTATATGTCAAATATACCAATTTATTGTAACCATAACAACTACGCCGTATCATTCTTCGTTCGAGGTAGGTGTAAACAATACGCTTAAAAAGTGAAGTTTTTTCTGTGTTCTCCTCCTGGCTTTTTTTTTTTTTTGGTTTGGTGACAATGTTTCGGGCATTCTGCTGAGTTCTTCGTCAATTTGAGAAAGTTGAGTGGTGTAACAGCAGTAGTCTCAAAACTAAACAAACAAATACAAGAAAAGCAGGAAAGGTAATAAAAACGCATTCCATACTTATGTGATGTTCATATTTTCTTAACTTATTTTGTCCTGTAACTTCATACATTTTTATTTTTCCCTTATTTTGTACTGTAACTTCATACATTTTTATTTTCCCTTATTTTGTCCTGTAACTTCATACTTTTTTATTTTCCTTATTTTGTCCTGTAACTTCATACATTTTTATTTTCCTTATTTTGTACTGTAACTTCATACATTTTTATTTTCCCTTATTTTGTCCTGTAACTTCATACTTTTTTATTTTCCTTATTTTGTCCTGTAACTTCATACATTTTTATTTCCTTATTTTGTACTGTAACTTCATACTATTTT